TATAAACCTCCCACTAGCGGGCACACGAATACATGACCATGTCGGAGACAAAACAGGCAGAAGTTAACAGAAAAATCACACTTCACAATCACTTTCAAGTCACTTTCAGATCATCAGGACAATCACTTAAATTTCAAGGAGGCATGCTCAATTTCATGAAAAACATAAACATTTCACTTCAAATCAGTCATACTTGTGTAAAACGGGTTTAGTCCCGCCACCACTTCAAAAACAAATCAAAACATGCTTTTAAAACAGTATGGGCATTACCATAAATTTACTTACCTCACTTGCATAAAACCGAGCACTCAATCTCAATGCTAACTGGCAGAACGATCGGGAACCTAATCAAAACATCCGAGAATCAATACCGGACTATCACACATTCAAGCTGAAATCATCATTAGGATCACTCCTAATCACCATGCTATTTCCATAAATCTCCACATGATCAAATATCCCCAAAATCATTCTCATATCACAAACTAATCATTTAAATCCCCGTTAAATGTTGGCCCTCGGGGTGTGAACAGTAACCGGTGAACAATGCCGGTGAACAGTGACCCCGACGTGAACAGTAACCCCGACTTTCACAAATTGGCCAAAACACTAGCTAATCTCACGGGATTTTCCTCCAAAAATCACAGCAATTAAAATCAAGCTAATTTACACTTAAACCAAGCTTAAAACATGCTCAAAGGCTACCGGAATTTCCCCCATTTTTCTACAGATTTTCGGACACACACAGGGCAGCAAATAACTGATAAAATTTCAAGCTTAGAGCTGTCAACATACCAGATTTGCAGCTAGCAGAACCGGGCCTAGCAGGGGGGAGAAGCCGGCGGCAAGTGCAAGGGAAGCTCACGGGTTTACCCAAAAATTGGAGGAACAAGAGCAATTAAGATAAACCCAAGCTAAATCAAGCTAAAGAAGGGAGATTCATGGCTGTTTCTTACCCAAAATCGGAGCAAATCACCCCCACAAACAAGAGCAGCCGGCGGACAGCAGAGGGAAGAGCAGAGCAGATCCGGAAGCTTCCTGCAGGGGGGAGAATTTCTGGGTTCCAATCAGGTTCTAGAGCAAGAAAAGAAGGCCAAAAACCAAGCTTTCTACCGGTTTCCTCAAGGCTGGCTGGGTTCCCCCTTTTTTTTTTTTTCTCGGGCTGCAGCGGGAAGAAGAAGAGCAGAATCGGGAATGGCTGGGAAGGAAAGAAAGAAAGAAAAAGAAAAAGAAAAGAAGTCATCCTTATCCAAAATCTTTCCCTCTTTAAGTCCCTCAACTTTCAAACTTTGGCTATTAAGCCCAAAACAATCTTTCCTCACAATCAAGTCCTTAATTAAATGCTAACATTCCCGAAAATTTGGGGTATTACATTGAGCATGCCTACTTGAAATTTGATTGATTGTCCTGATGATTTGAAAGTGATTGGTAAATAATGATTTTCTGTGAACTTCTGCCTGTTTTGTC